TCTTTTCTGTTGGGAAGCTGATAAGAGAGGAGATATCCAAGTAGGATTCTCAGTTCCTTAAAATGACCTTGAAGTCTTCCATTTTTTTGTTTGAAGAGGTGGGAAAGGAAGAATGAATTACAGAGGAATCCCCAGGGGTGCTCCAGAGGAATCTTTAGAGCCCTAGCCAACTAGCTCAGCTGGTTGGAGCGTAGTCCTGTATGCCAGGGTTGCAGGATCGATCCCCAGTCAGGGCGCATGCGAGAATCAACCAATGAATGCGTAGGCAAGTAGAACAACAAGTTGATGTTTCTCTCTCACCCCTTCCCCCGCCCTTCTCAAAATCCATTAAAAAATATATTTTTAAAAAACGATCAGAAGAATCATTAGAGAAACTGACAGGAAACAGCTGGAATCTGGTGACATTTGCCTGTGAGTCGACCAGTGCGGGGAGAGGACAGCATTTGAACAGTGCCTGTCGAAAGAGGCCCCTGTCCACAGGGGAGCTGTCTTAGAAAAGAACGATACCTTGCAGAGTGTGAAGATGAGAGGCAGCGAGCCAAGTAAGGATGTGGGGGACTGAAGGAACACTGCAGGCACAGGAAATAGCCCACAAGTCAGCAAGAGGTTGTGCTAGAAGGTTTGGCAGAGGCCAGCTGGCGAAGGGCCAGGTACAACCCTTTAGGGGTGGTCTGGGAGAGGTGGGCCTGATAGCTACTAGGTGGAACTTAGAGGTTCCCTCTGAGTGGGGAAGGAGAAGGCAGAGGCAAAAGGCTAGTACTCAGGTTTCTGGCAGCTTGGGAGAATGGCAGCTCCATGCCCTGTGTCAGTGACTGCAGGAGGCAGAACCTTTCGGGAATGGGCATGGGAGTCTTGACATGCTTGTGAGGAACCCTGAAGAAATGTCCACAGGGCAGTGGGGTGAATCTGGGGTTCGGGAGAAGACTGGGCTGAAAAGAGTAGATTTTAGCATGATCTGCAAAAAGAAGCCATGGAAATGAACCAGAGTGCCAGGGAGGAGTATAGGGTTGGGCTGGGGAAGATAGAAGTCACATTTAACCATGTTGTGCATGGTCTCCTGCCTTCATCTCTCCTGGTCCTGGCACCGAGCTCTGGCTTCTCCATTCCCCTGGCTAAAGCCCCATCCTTTCAGACACAGCTGACACAAACCCTCTAGGATTCAGCCTAACCAGGTGACTCCACTCTCCCTGTCACCTGTAGATCTCTGGGTGCTTCCAGCTCACTGCCCTGCATTGGAGTTTCCTAGAGCCTCTCCTTCCACAACTGCATGATAGCCTTCTTGAGGGCAGAGACCAAGCCCATGGTCTCTGTGCCTCACCGTGGCTCAGCCACCATGGCTCGAGCAATAAGTGGTTGAACAAACGAATTAGAGGACACTGCTGTTGACTCAGCCAGCTTTACTTCTGTAGCTCAGAAACAAAGCAGGCCCAGCACTTTGGGTTTTCAAATTTCCTTTTTAAAATCAGGAGGCATTTCAAATGTGAAGAGAATATTGTAACACTCACGCCCCCACCTCCCGGATTGGACTCACTGCCAAGCTCCTGTAAGTCACAGCCTGGGAAAGAATGCCTAGAATCAAAACGAGTTAAGTCAAATAGATTTGTCCACAGAAACAACATTGTAGCACCAAGTTAGATCTCTGACTGTGGGCCTGGTGCTTTTTTTTCTTTCCATTTTTTAAAAGAAAATAAACACTGCAATTATCCAAGGATGCCATATAAATCTTTCTAAAGGGCATGTAAATCAGTCATTTAGTCCACATAGGCCAGCCACACTGCCTCTTAGTTCATGCATGGGATGCTGTGCAGTTCTTATCTCACTTCCCCATCACCCTCGGTGCCTGGAGTGCATGCCACAAATCAAAGGAAAGAGCATCTTCGTCAGAGGCATGGAATTTAGGAGGCTTCCTGGGACAGGTTCATGGTCTTTGCTGAAAAAAGAGCTGGTTAGTTTTGCCAAACTATCATGGTCATCTATGTTTCATCATCATTTCTCTTAAGAATTAACTTTTATTGCCATTTTTTGCTCTTGTAAAAATAATACAGATTATAGAAAGTTTAGATAACTCAGATAAGCCAAAAGAATAAAAATAGCTTAAGAGTCCCACCTAGAGACAGGCACTGTTCAGTTTATCCTTCCAGTCCTATGTGTGTGTGTGTGTGTGTGTGTGTGTGTGTACGTGTAGCTACGTGCATAGGTACACACCTGTTCATTTACATCTACACATTTCCTTCCACAACACTGGGCTAATCCAGGCGTATTGTTTAGGGATCTCTTTTTGTGCCCTGATGTAGGGAGAACACCTTGCTCTGTCAATACACCTTCTCCTACAAAAGCATGTTAAGCCTGGAGAGATTTTGGCAGACATCCTGGAGAAGGCTTTTGGAAAGAGTTGGGACCCCTTGGGAATTTTAAGCAATGGTACCAGGATCATCTGTTTTTCTGTCCTCTATGCACGTGTACTGAAATTAGAGATCAAGTCACACTCAGGGCTGGAATCTGTTTTTTTTCCGATTTCTGCTTCAGCATATCTGTCAGCACATGTTGCCCACCAACGTAATAGAACGAGGGGCCCATGATGGGCAGGGGGCTGAGTCCAAGCACAGGCTGTGTGGATTATCTAAAGAGCTGTGGACACCCTCTGCCAATATTCAGAGATCCTTGAGTCACAAGCTTCTTTTCAGTCACCAAAATGTAGAAAGATCCAGTAAACTTTCTCCAGTCAGGCGTGGACAGTGGGGATGGAGATGGAGGAACAAGTTTTTGAAATGCCCAGTGCATTTGTGAGCCATTCCAACAAAATAGGAAAAGGAAGCAGCATTCTCAGCTCCCCACCCTTTCAAGGTACAAATATAATTAAATCTTTTTTCTCTGCTTGACTTGCCTTCGTGTTTTCTTGGTAGCATTGGCAGGGAGAATGGCACCAGGTGTTAGATCAGTGGGGTCAGACTGGACCTTGTTTCAGCAACCTTGGTACTTGAGTTCTGGCTAAGAAAGAATTCAGAGCCAAGACTCAAACTATAAGAGAAAGTTTATTTGGAAAGTTACAGACACAGAGGAAGTGATCAGTAGAAGAAACGGACTTAGGAAACAAGTTACAGAGGCCCTTGGAGCTAAGGAGAAAGAGAGAAGCAAGGAAAATGTGCCTGGAGGAGCAAGAGGGGGAAGGGAAAGGTGCGGGGGTGCTTCTGGGAGGGAGAGCACACCGGGTCCTCCGTCTTGAGAGTCTTTATCTGGACGTCTCAAAGAATCCCAATAGAAGATTCATCAGCTTTCCAGATATGTCCTTTCAGGGTCATGTTCTCCACATGACTAGCAATATGCCAGGGGAGGAAAGGTCAGGGGAGGGTCTGAACTGCATGACCATCGATATACTAGGGGAGGAAAGGTTACCCTGGGGCTGAGGTCATTGTTTTCCCAACTTTGCTCTTTGTTAGGCACCTGGGGCTCTCTGCCCTGGTGACCTTCTGTACCTGGCCCTTTGTACTTGTTCTGCTTATATCTAACTGCCTACCCCAGTAGGTCTTAGCTCTTTTGGGAAAATGTTATATGATTAAAAAACACAACATCATCAGTGTTATAAACTATTATTTTAGGAGGATGTTTCTAAGCCTTAGTTTTCTTCTCTCTGTAATGGGAAAAATAGAAATGCATTTCAATAAGGTTGTTGTGAAGATTCAATGAGATAATGTATGTCAAGTACTGCCTCCCACAGCTAAGTGCTTTGTTAGTACTGAATAGGAGAAGAAGGGACTGTTTGACTGTATTTTGAGTTTGGCCACCTAATTATGATACATGGTGAGAAATTATAAAAATTTTTTGCCTTTGCCTAGTATAGCATTCAATAAATATTGAATGAATGAATGAATGAATGAATGGTGCTATGGATGATAATATTTCTTCTGGACATTGGTTAAGATGCTTGTTCACCAAAAATCAATAATGTGGCCTTTTTACACAAATGTGCTCGTAAAAATGTATTCTACATGCCTGGAAGGGTAACTTGTTTTCTAAACAATTTTGTTCCTATAAGTCAAGCAGGCACAGAACATTTGTGTTTGGGAGGAGGAATGGAGGAATAGATAGACAGATAGACAGACAGATAGATAGGACTCTTCATTGACCTATTTTTTTGTTTGCAGCATCTATTATTATTATTATTATTATTATTATTATTATTATTATTAAGAGATTCCCTGGAGAATGGAAATAATAATTATGCAGCATCTCTTAATTATTAAATAGTGTTGCAGCATCTCTTAATAACTCTTCAGTGATGTCCCCACTGTTTTGAGGTTTGTATTAGTGCCAAATATTTGAATTCAACACAGTACAGTGGCAGCAGAAAAGTCACAAACCTGCAGGCTCTTTGGCCACATTCCAGTGGTTTCACCACTTGAACTGATAAAGGCTTGTGCTTGCGTCTTACTCTGGGCTGCAGAGTGCTCCTCTGGGGGAAAGGTACGCAGGTTCAGAGCTCCCGAGTCTGGGTACCAGCATTGCCTTGAAGTAAGCCATGCCCTTCTCTGATGCAGAGTGACACTTTGTAGACGTTTGAACATCCCCAAACGAACACTTAATGCCTTAACATGGACCCTATTGCCTTGTTCCTGTTTTGGCATGCTTGTGTGTAACATGTCACTTCCAGTCTACAGAACCTCAGGGATCAGTTTTTTGCCTGTAAAATGAAGGACTCGGAAGAAAAGGCTCAAAGGCTCTTTGCAGCTCATTTCAGTTCTTACCGGCCTGTGGCCTTGAGGCCCGGTTGTCTCCCCTGGAGAATGGGAATAATAATTGTGGTTATTCTGAGGTCAGAGGCAAATGATTTGTAAGTGGGGTTGTGTGGGCAGTGAAAGGGGCTCTGGGACTTCTTGCCAGTTGTGGAGTAGTGTAACTAATACAACAGTGTCACAGTGCCAGGTAGCCCCCAACTGGAACTGAGGTAAAGGCCGAATAAGAATCCAGCATTTACATGACTTTCTCTTCTTTTTTGTGACTAGGAAATTCTGATTTGCACACTGGTTTGGCCCAGCATTGCCGGAGAAATCTCCTGGGATGTTTCATTTGTTACTCTGAACTTCTTGGTGCCAGGACTGCTCATTGTGATCAGTTACTCCAAAATTTTACAGGTACGTTTGCTTCCAGACCGAAGCTGAACTTCACTCAGGTTCCGGGTACTTGAGGAATCTTAGCATTTCTGGGTCAGAAGTTACCTTTGTGTTCACTCCATTTCAATTCTGGTTCACTGCCCAGGTCTATCCCCTCTGCAAAAAGGAAATTATACCCTTATGATTATTATTATTTTTCACTAATCACCAAATACAAGTGTATTACAAAACACTAAAGAAATATAGAATGCAGAACACAGAAACTGAAGATCTATTCTGCCCCCATTGTTAACAAATCATTGTATTTTTTTCAGTTTATTTTTCTCATAAATTTACCTATATACATGCTTTTATGCTATATATATATCTGATAAACTATGTAAAATGATCAAATATCAGCTATTTGTCATGGCCGAACTAATTTTTTTTCAGATTTGAGATAATACTATCTATTTTTTAACTTCCTTTTTTCGCTTAACACTGTATCATAACCCTTCATATCAGTTCCTTTATCTCCGCCTCCGTATTTCTAATGGTTTGATGATCTTCTGTCATATAGCTGTGACATAATTTACTTTGTGGGCTTTTGGATTGTGTCCCTTGTTTCCCTACCACACACAGCAATGTCATGAGAGAATACACACTTCTGAAACTTTTTATTAAAGTATAATCTACACACAGAAAAGCACACCCAGCATACACGCACAGCTGGCAAACTGACCACAGCTCCCAGGAACAGCACCGCAAACAGAGCCTTACCCGAGGCTTCCACCAGTCGCCTTCCACTGGCTGCCCCCTCCATGTCCCGGAAACGTGCCTTTCAGAAGCGGGCTGAAACAGCCATGGTCTCTACCTTTGGAGCAAGCATGTACAGGGACATAAAAAAGACCTGCCAGCCTGTTTCTTACCTCTGGAGGCAGCCTGTTTACACATACGGTGCTGGCTCAGGCAAATAGCATGTATGTGTGTTCATGCTTGTTTGAGAAGGTCTAATGCAAAGCCTTTGAGTCCTCTCAGAGGTTTACAGTTGTTGAATCTTGGTTTTATAGCATATTATGGGTCATCTGGCAAACAGGGATATTGAAGTGGGGCCCTGTAGGTCCTGCTTGCTGTCTGGCCACTTTTATGGCCCTTTCTTTGTAGCTGAATATCTGTCACCTTCTTAGATGCTCAAAAACCAAAGCCAGGCCCACCTCCATCAAGGGCTGCTAATCCCTGGGTCCTGTGGGAAATGGCCTCCTCATGTTATTCCCTAGACTCTCCTCCATCAGTTGACCTCTGACTCTCCTTTAAGTGACCCCTCCCTTGCCCCCAACCTGGGACTTTTAAGGGTTTGAGGCCAGTTCAGGCCTAGAGTTAGGTCTGTAAAGTGCCTGCAATAGGGCCTGGCATGTGTAAGTGCTATGTGAGTGTTAGCTGTTATCATTATGTTAAAAGAAAAGAAGTGAGGGGAAAAGAAAGGAAAATGTAGAATGTCCAGAGATGTAGAAATGTAGAAATAATCTAAAAATTATTTAACAAATATTTATGTAGTGTTTACAGTGTGTTAGGAACTAACTCATTTAATCCTACTAAGAATGACAGTTACAGAGAGGTTAAGTAACTTGCCCAAGGTCACACAGCTCATAAGCAGCAGTATCAAAATTTAAACCCAGAGTTCCTTAGAAGCCAAGAGGGCTCTGGTCTTCTCCTTTCACTTATGTCTCATACTTCTCAGCTGCCTGCTGAGAGAGGACTGACTTATTCTATGGAAAGGTTTCCCACCAACCCCCAGAGCCCTGATGAGCTCGGGGAAGTGTAAAGAAAGTGATGGGAGCTGTCCTGGGGTCTATGATAGCAAGAACCAAAGGCCGGCCATGGGTTTATGTGCAGAATATCTGGGGAGTGATGAATTGGGTAAGAGGACGCCTCCTTAAGGCTCTGTATGATTTGGCCCCTACCTGCCTCTCTCACCTCATCTCTTCCCCTCACTTGTGTCCATGTTGGTTCGGTGCTGTTCCTTACACATGTCAACACTGCTGCCTGAGGGCCTTTGCACCTGCCATTTTCTCTCCTAGATCTCTGTTCCCCAAATTCCTCTGTGAGCCAATTCTCCCCTTCATTTAGGTCTCTATTCAAAAAGGTGTTCCCCAGAGAGACTCCTCACAATTCTCTAGTTCTCTTTATATACTCCTGTCGTATTTCACTTATGTGGATTTATTTGTATATCATCCGTCTTTCCCATTAGAATGCAAGCTCCATGAAGGCAGAGACTTTGTTTACTGTTACAGCCCAGTGCCTAGAACAGGGGTCTGGCTTATGCATTGTGAGTGCTCAGCAAACACTCATTGAAAGAGTAAGGCACTGAAAAGCCAACAGTGCCTTCTCCTCTTGGGGAGAGGGAAAATCACTGGACAGAGTCGTAAGATTTGGCTTCTGGCCCAAGCTTTATTACTGTGTGACCTTAGGCAAGTCACTTAACTAATATAAGCCTCAGTTTTCTCTGGAGCTAAATGAGCCTCAGTGGTTGTTTAACACAACAAAATGAGAGTGCAGATATGATAATATTTTGAAAATCACAACATTAATGCAAATATAAAACTTAAAAAAAAAATTACTCTCCACTCACTAGCAAAACTGTTGCCCATTTCTTGGGAGGACTATAACATTTGTCCTCACCTTGCACCTATGGGTTTGCCAGGCTGGTAACGTGGCAGCAGGTAAGTTGCTGACAGGTGGATGGAGGGTCTGGGCAGGCCCTCCCAGTGTGCGTCTCTCTCCCTCGGGATATTCATTCAGACTCAGACAGACACTGAATCAGCTTTTCTCCTGTTTTTCTGTCAAGAGCATAATTCTGTAAAATCAGTTGAATGTCAGTGTTAATTAGCCATATCCATAGAGACACAATTAGCAAATCATTCGAAACCATGGGACACAAAGCTACACCATCTACCCCTTTCTCACCAACCCTACCTTTCATCTGTACTACTGTCTCAAACTCAGGTTCCATCTCTAGCCCTGAGAAGTGCCTCTTACAAATCACCCTGATCTTTTATTCCTCTAAAACAGTCCCCCTAAAGCTTTCTCTAGAACTCCATGGTTTGTTAGATATTAGAAAGGGTTCCATGATCAAATGAGTTTGGGAAATGCTAGGTTAATCAAAGTTAAATGGATTTCTTTGCTGCAGGACTTCTCAGAGCCTTTATTATGTGAATGTACTTTGGGGATCTCCAACACAGGAAGAGAGTAGGCAGCATTGCTAAATCTGACAGCAGGACTCTCTATTGCCCACAGAGCATCTCTCTGGACTGGAGCTCCATGAATCTCTTATGGGAAGCTGCTTTAAAGTCCCCACCCTACTTGCTGGTTCTGCCCTGGTCGGGGATTGAGAGCCGACAGACGTCACCTGGGCTCTTCCCTTCAGGGGCCACTTCAAGTGCTCAGGGCAGTGGCCTTATCTGCCCTTCTGCCTTCCCTGCTTCCTTTTTACTCATGACTCAGCCATGCTATACATCTTCAGTGGCTTTTTCCAATCAACAGTTTCCCAGGGAATAGTCTCCCAGCCACTCCCAAGTACCTTCGATCAGGCTGTCAATGTTAGCTGTTGGGGCTTGGTTTATATTGTCACCTAGCAACCACTGCCACAAGATGCAATGCTTCTACCCTTTGTGGCAGTCTGTATGCTTCTTATTTGTTTTCCCATTCCCTACTGCGCCCTAGACTGGAAGTGCAGGGTGGGCAGGGTACCCTTACTTTTTGCTGTATATCCAGCACCTATAAGAGTGCTTGGCACATAGTAGGGGCTTAATAAATATTTATTGCATGGGAGTGAGTCTGTGGCTTAAAGTTGGAAAATGCTTTTCTATCGCAGAGCTTAACTGAGAAACAAAATGTGTTTCTGCTAAGCATGAAGGTGTTAGGTAGTGAGCATGCAGCCCTTTCTCCAAGCCCGACGGACCCTCACTTCCCAGCTTTGAGGCCTGTTTGTGAATGACGGAAAGGGAAGTGGGCCTTCTGGAGAGATGGAGGCTATTGTCTGATGATTCTAATCAGGCAGTTGCTGATTGACCAAGCAGCCCCCAAGGAGACCCAGTGCCCAGGGACTTGAGCTGTGTCAGTGGGGAGCAACCTCTCCCCGCACCCACCTGTCAACAACCATGGGCTGGTGGCACAGAGTGGCAAAGGGTGTAAGGCGGAGAGAAGGTTCCTTCATGGCTTTCAGATGAAGGCAAAATTCTTGAACAGTTTAAAAAGTGACTCCTCAAAGGTCTGGGGGAAACCTCAAGCCTGTTGTCCTAGATCAACAGTTCTCATGCTTTAGCGGGCGAGACTCACCTGGGGAGTTTATGAAAAGTGCAGATTTCTGAGCCCCATTCCGACCCACAGAATCAGAATGGCTGAAGGTGGGCCCAAGCAGGTGCATTTTATCAAGTGCAGGTGACTAATGCAGGTGGCTGTGGACCACATTCCCGGAGCGCTGTCCTCTCTCCTTGCAGTTTACCCAGTAAAGAACTCAGGTGCCTTGCCTGAGGTACACCAGCCTCACCTCCCACTTGACGGAGAGGCTTTGCTCAAGTCACTTCATTTCTCAGAGCCTCTGTCTCTTGTCTTCAAATGGGGAAATGACAGAACCTACCCCATAGGCTTGTTTTAAGTATTAAAATTAATCCTCAGAAGTTAATTGAGCATTTAGTTTAAAAGCACATCAAGCAAGCATTCTGCCCAATGCCAGGGACATTTAAGGCCCTAGTCTTGTCATCTAGTGTGGGGAGGGGAAGAGGAGAGGAGCCACATTTCATTATAATGGGCCCATTTTCCTTCTCATTCCCTGAAAGTTGCTGGAACTATGGACAGAAGGAAATAGTAGCAGCAGTCAGTGCTATAAAAAGACCCAACCACTTATCCACTTGGCTCATGAGTCAGCCCAATTTGTCTGTTTGCTCACAGTCACTGTCAGGCACAGAAGCCACAGGGCAGCCCAGCACCCGGGGAGCTGGGGTGCAGAGCTAAGAATGACGCTTCAGCGTCTATCACACAGTATATGTGGCGAGTGTCATGTGACTACCTGAAAAGAAGCACTGCAGGATGCCAAGCAGAAAGTGAACCAGGAAGCCTTCCTTCTCACAGTTCCTGGCATTATAGGCTGGGCAGAGGCTTTCCATTGATAGAGACAGTAGAGGGTAGGAAGGAACTAGTTTAAGACTAAGAGTATGGGCTGGAGTCAGACTGCCCAAGGTTTGAAGCTCAGCTCTGCAACTGCTGGGTACTGTTGGGCAAGTTGCTTAGCCTCTTTTGAGCCTCAGTTTCTTCATCTGTAAAATGAGGATCTTCAAAGTACATATGTCGCAGAATTGTGGGGAGAATTTAAAGAGATAAATCAAGTGATATGTATAGGGCCTGGCACATAAGTTTTCAATAAATATGAACTTTCATCAACATCATTCATTCAAAAAAAATTTATAACACTGTACCAGGGACTCCTTCCTTCTTGGCAGGGCATTACGGGCAGCACAAGCAATGAGGCTGCTTTTGGAATCATTCCTTATGTGCCCACCAGGCTGCACTTAGGACTAGAGTGACACCCCTACTCAGAGGTGGTGGCATTTCCCCTGCAGGCTGCCCACCTACCACCTGCCCAGCTGTTATTCTCCCAGATCTATTGGCCAAGGTAGTCTCAGATTAACTAGCTTTCACCTGAACCATGTTCTAACTTTGATTCTACACAGCAGCTTCCAGACTTGGATGTGCCAACCTGACCTCAAGCATGTGAGTCTGAGATGGTGGGTCGTATCTCCTGAGCAGCCCCACCCTGCAGAACAAGCAGTGGCAGGGAGGGCTGAAGAGGATTGCAGCCCCTCTGGAGCCTTTTATGATGTGGCTCATCTTTAGCTCAACTAAGCTGGGTTTGCACAGATGGGGGCTTTGACCATGGAGCGCCAGTGGAGTAACCTTCAGCAAGTTACTCAAATTGCCTGTGATTCAATAGCCTCATCTCCAAAGTGAGAATAATAATAGTACCAATCTAAAGAGTAGCTATAAAAATGAAATGTGATAATTTATCAAAATAAATGGTAGCCCAGTGCCTGGCACATGGAGCCCTCCTTAGAGCCCAGTGATCCTGATTCCTACTGTTGTTGGGGAGTAGGTGGGAAAGAAAGGGCTCAGTTCACTCAGCATCTGTTCCCTGGTCTCCATCACCAAGAGGTGGGCCTAAGCTACGGCACAGAAGCAAGCAAGCAGTTGCATTTAATCATAATTAAACAGCTATCCTCTAATTAACTAGTGAGAAGTATTCTAAGGAGACTATTTTAAGCCGTTGTGATCTTGGAGTTAAACTTGCCCAAACTGTGAATTGTGCTAATTGCTTTCAAATTTCCTCCTCTCTTGAGATTCAAGAATCTTAGGGGATGGGCCTAGGGAGGCCAGCTAATGAGATTTGTGGCCATTAAAGTCTCCAAACATGTAAGCACCCACTGTGTGGCTACGGCAGAAGGACACAGGGCCAGACTAAACAAATGGGAGTTAGCGAGGATCGTAAATGTAACCGAGACATTCTGAATATGATCCCTTCCTGGGGACAGTGGTCACAGGCTGGAACAAAGCATGTCAGGCTAACATGTACAGTGCCCCACCCATCACACCAGTTTGTGCACCAGTTTGTCCCCTATTCACCATCACAAAACTTCGTCCCTCTCGCCTCCCAAAACTGGGTACTATTGAAGCTGAGCAAGTGATAGGGGACAGTGGCCCTTCTGCCCTCTGGCTGTGCTTAAAGGACAGTTGGAATTAGGCATAAAGGCAGGACACTGTATGTCCTCAGGGCGGCCTGCACCTGAACACCGGACCCTTTCCAGCCCCCAGGGAGTCAGACCCACCCAGCCAGCCCGCCACCCTGCGCCTGGGAGTCACACTTAAGCGGAAGCCCCACCTCCTCTCTCACACTCAGCTTCTGAGGGGCTTTTGCTTTCTGAAGTGAACGCTTCAAAGCTAAACTCTCCCTCAGGGGCCTGCTTCCTCACCTGTACAACAAAGGGGTGCACAGGCCTTGCTACTCAAAGGGTGGGTCTCGGACCAGCAGCAGCGGTGCACATGGGAGCTTGTGAGAAATGCCAGTCTCAGCCCCACCCAGACTCCTTCAGCATCATGTTAAGTTTGTATCTTCAGCACAGTTGGCTTTTATACAATCAATACTTTTTCACAAAAAGACACAACAGGGAAGATGTGTGTCTCAGTCTCTTTGGACTGTCATAACAAAATACCACAGACTGCGTGGCTTATAAACAGTAGAAATTTATTTCTCATAGTTCTGGGGGCTGGAAGTCCAAAATCAGGGCGTCAGCATGGTGGGGTCCTGGTGAGAACCCTCTTCCAGGCTGCAGACTGCTGACTTGGCACTGTGCCTTCACATGGCAGCAGTGCCCAGGAAGCTCTCTCAGGCCTCTTTTCTAATTTAATTTAAAGAATTTTTAAATTAGAGTTGATATTCAATATTATATTAGTTTTTCAGGTGTACAGCATAGTGGTTAGACACTTATATAACTTACAAAGTGATCCCCCCGGTAAGCCTAGTACCCACCTGACACATACATAGTTATTACAATATTATTGACTACATCCCCACGACTACCCTGTAACTGCCAATTTGTATTTTTTAATCCCTTCACGTCTTTCTTAAGGGCACTAATCCCACTCAGGAGGGCTTCCTCCCTAACCCGCTCATCTCCCAAAGGCCCCCACCTCCTAACAGCAGCACCTTGGGGGTTAGGTTTTAACAGATGACCTTGGGGGAAGGACACATTCAGACCAAAGCATGTGCTCCTGTTCTCTGACCCCTCTCCTACACCGTCCGAGTCAGGCCTTTCGCTTCTACATGTGGATGGTTTGCTTCTGCCTTGTTTCTCAGGGGTCCACCCAGGCGCCCTGTTTCTTCAGCGCCCTGAGGGCTGGACCAACCTCTAAAAGGGGGGGCTCTCTCTGCCCAAAGCAGTCCCAGCGCAGCGGGGGCAGCAGATTCCAACTCTGCTGCTCCTGAGTCAAAACTCCCTGGCGCCCCGCAGTAAACCGTGGCTCCGGCCGCGTTGTGTCCCCGCAGATCACCAAGGCGTCCCGGAGGAGGCTGACGGTGAGCCTGGCCTACTCGGAGAGCCACCAGGTCCGCGTGTCCCAGCAGGACTTCCGACTCTTCCGCACCCTCTTCCTGCTCATGATCTCCTTCTTCATCATGTGGAGCCCCATCATCATCACCATCCTGCTCATCCTGATCCAGAGCTTCAAGCAGGACCTGGTCATCTGGCCGTCCCTCTTCTTCTGGGTGGTGGCCTTCACCTTCGCCAACTCGGCCCTGAACCCCATTCTCTACAACATGTCCCTGTTCAGGAATGAATGGAGGAAAATTTTTCGCCGCGTCTTCTTCCAGGACAAGGGAGCCATGTTCACAGACACGTCTCTCCGAAGAAACGACCTGTCTGTCATCTCCACGTGATGACCTCTCTAGCCGCAGAGTCTGTCCCTCTCGGGCGAGCCAAACTTCCAGGACCGTCACACCAGTGCCCCCTGCTTTAGGAAAATACGACCTATGCAAACACATTTACTGTGCCGGCGAATTAAGGGGTGATCATTCAGCATAAGAATTTTACCCTTTATGAAAGGATTTGCTATGGGGTCCTTTAAACATGAACTTTTTCAGTGTGTTTGTAATATGACTGCGTGTAATAAATTTTTATTTATAACTGTTCAACAATCACATCTACATATAAAGCCACACCTTGCTGGTTTCTGAAGTGGGGCGTAGAGCTGGTCCAGGGCCCAGATTACTCTGAAAGGCCATGGCCACTCTGGGTTCATATGCTGGACTCACAAGGCCTCAGGATCATTCATCAATGTCCATAAGGGTTGAGGAATCTCCCAGGAATAATTAAAGGTGACTTTGTTGTTGTTGTTGATAAGAAATGTCATGGACCCTCTTAGGACAAGCGGTATCATGAAATCAGAGAATATAGGATGACTCCAATATTTGGGGGGTCATGAGAAGCAATCTTAGGACATATTTGAGGTGGAGCAAACACAATTTCTTGATGGACAGGATGTAGAATGTGAGGGGGAGAGAGGATTCAAGGGTGGCTTCTAGATTTGTAGCCTGAGACTGGTTGGAAGGTGGGGCAGGCAACAAAAATGGGGGGGAGACTTGGGGTGAGAGAGCCAAGAGTTTTATTTGAGGCTTGTGTAAGTTTGAAATCTCGGTGAGATCCAGATGGAGAGTAGGTAGTTGGATGCAGGGATGTGGAGCGTGGGCCCAAAGATGCACTGTTAAGAATCATCAGACAGTATTTACAAGCTATGGTTTTGTGAAATATCCCTGAAAGAGAAGACAGAGAAGAAACCAGAGCTAAACAGATCCGAGGGACACACCATCACATGGAAGTTGGGCCAATGGCTGGAACGCACAGTAGCTCGGGGCATGGCACATAGTAGGTGCTCAACACGTCTTTGATGTCCAGTAAATCAGCACCAGTAGTTCCATTGCTTGTGGAGTTTCCTGAATAGCTTCTTCTGAAGTAAGATTTATGGCGTTCACAAGCTCGAGGACAAGAAGACAGGGATTTTTTGCTCACTTTTAGTTAATGGATTTGACGAATTAAAACTATTTTGAAGTGATGTGTGGCTATCTTATGGGTCGCTGGGGTTGTCAAACTGAAGCTGAAGAGCCTGGCTCTGACGGTCTGCTGCTGTGTGTGATGACAGGTAGGCTTTCCCAAACATGGTCACCTGTCTCCTCCTTCCTTGGTGGGAGAATAAGCATGTTGGGGTGGGGGACCCAGGAGCCTCCTATGGGCCCTGGATAAGCTAGCACCCAGGCAGAGATCTCTGCACACACAGGAAAGTGGTGTCCTTCCCCACCTCCTGACACATTTCGTAGCTGTCAGCCAGGCATCATCAGTGTTTGCACAGCTACTAAGTGCTCTAATTGAATACTTCGTCCCATCAGGCAGACACTGTTTCCCCATATTTCACACAAAAAAAGAGAGGCTCAGAAAAGCCATGCAGCCAGCTCAAATCGCACAGCTACTATATGTCTGAACTGGATTTTGACTTAGAGAGTCTGGTACCAAAGCCTGATTCCTTTTCAAGTTGAGAAGCTGAGGCTCCTGGGAAACTGAGGCAAATGGCTTTGCATGCAATTACACACTAATGTTCACAAGTACCACTGAAAGTGTGGGATACTGGTGTTCACCGCTTACCCACCACGCCCTTTCCGGCAAGCTCCAGGCCAGGTAGGGGGCTCTGTGATCTTCCTCCAGACCTGGCTTTCGAGGGCCCCATATTCTAATTCCCTCAGGGAAGCTTAAGGCCTCCTCTCCTTCAATATTTTGGCCACATCTGAAATAAGTGAATTAAGTGCTAGAAATAGTGAAGGGCTGGGGGGTGTTTACTGGAGCTGACCCAGAACCATGTCTCTCAAACCCAACTGGGTGAGTTGGCCATCCTGCCCCTTGCACTGGCGCAGGGCTGACTGGGGCTGTGGGCTCACTGGCCTTGCTTAGCCCACACTCACTTAACCTGCTGGTGCCTTGTCCAGGCTGGCAGCTGGGGGCCTTCCTGGGTTAATGGGGAACAGCACCCTTTTTCAGGAAGTTGGGAGAAGCCATAGTCACTAATGGAGATTAGGCACTAGAACCGGCCAAAGGTCATAAGAACCAGGGAGGCAAGAACACCTCCTGTGGTATAAAAGTGCATCCCACCCAACCATCTGTAGGACTTCTCACTTCAACACACACAAACACAAATGAAAACCCAAATCATAGGAAACAGGAGGCTATATTTTAATAAATCCAAGTCTGGAATCCTAAGCCTCAAATGATTCCTTAGAAAGCTCCAGTGAAAACATACATCTGAGTGAAAACTGATTCACTAATTCCCACATATATTTTTATGTGTCCTGAAGGTTTTATGTTTCCTGAAGGAAAGGGGAAGAGAGAGGGCCAGACTAAACTAAGATAAATAGAGTTGAAGGCTGAGTGAGAGTTAGTGGGACATTTTCAAATGGCACTTGACATCCTCGATGTTGCTACAAAAGGTTTGTTTCTGATTTGCCATCACAGTAACCTAAAACATAGAAAACAAAAGTCATTAGTGACAGAAAGATGGACCAGTGTGTAATGTAAATTATGAATGTCATGATGGCCTCACGGCTCAGCTTCATTCAAGTGCTGCTTTTAAGTTTACAGCTGGATGTGGCTGTGATTCATAATCATCCTCTAGGCTTTTTCGGGCAGCCTTTCGAATTTCTCTGGGGGCCATGGGATCTCCTGTATGAGGTAGTGTTCTTTTTGCCTTAAATTTGCCTCACTGCATTTCAGAAGGTTGGGGGGTGCATACTCCTATTTCAGAAAGTGGGCCTGATTGCAGCCACTCCATTAGTGGTTTTATGGAATGTTCACCAGGTCCTGTCCCATGTGCCACCACACGGGGCCACAAAGGGCTTCAGTGCCACAAAAAAACAACACACATATATACAAAAACATCTCACTTTGCATCCAATTCAGCTACTTACAACAGCTCTTGGGCAACTTTTGTGATCTTTCTTAGCCTGTTTTCTCATCGGATAATGAGAATGTGGATAATAAGAGTGTCTATTTCATAAGGTGTCTCTGAGGATTAAACAAGATGTAGGCAAAGGGTTTGGCCTGGAGTCTGGCCGCAGTGAAATCCTTTCCTGGCCCTTCATTTAGGCCACCCCAAGGTGAAACATCAAAATCTTATTGATGAATGTTTTTGGTCTGGGTTGGTATCTGTTTGGTGTAGTTTTCCTCAGCTAGTTAGAAGACCAACAGAAAAGTTCAGATTCGTTCTCTTTTTCCTACATTTTAGCATTTCATATTTGGATTTTGAAACCCAGTTTCCCATGGGAATGAGTGTCAATTCAAGTAGACAAGCACACTTTCCTCTAGAATGTTCCTGGTTTTCAAATCAACATCAGATGAGGCTAGTATCTGTACAAAGTTCCAGAGAATCTCAAAAGGTGTAAGTGAGGAAGATCAGCTAGTCAATTTGGTTTCACCTTAGCATTTGTCGAAATCATTTTGAACTTGCTATCGTAATGTCTAAGTTTTTATACCAGTGGCTACATTCGCAGCTTAGCTTGTCACTGGGGCCACTGAATCACCAAATAATATTCAGTCAAAATGGGTTTTTGGGCAGAGTAGCCAGAGGCAAATCAAGTGACTACAGACTGGGCTAAGTTATCAGGAAAAAGGAAGAGAGTGTCCCCTGCAGTTCTAATTAATTAAAAGTGCCAGGGTTTTGGAAAAAGGCCTCTGCCCACTCCTCCTGCATCAGCCCGGTGATAAGGCCACTGAAAGATCTGATCAAGAAGAACCAACACGTGGCTCCCAGGGGCTCCCAAGGCTCCGTTTCCTTGTGCATGCAGGTGACATGCATCTCACTGGCAGGCGGACACAAGCTCACTGCCCACCGACGGCTCAGAGAGCGCTGGCCGCGCCTGGCTCCCACCCACCCGTCCGCCCACTCACCGTTGTGCGCAATCAGCCGGTACTGCCGGGCCAGGCACAGCTCCTCCTGCCTCCGCCTCACGATTTTCTGCACTTCCGGAGGCAGGCCGTGGGGCTTGCGGGCAAACACGAAGGAGTAGCTGTCAGCACAGGTGCCGTCGAGGTTCAGGAGGCGGCAGGAGTACTGCACGGCGTAGGTGTCGTAGTCCGTGTCGACGATCCAGTGGTCATCGTCTGCAAGCCAGAAAGCCAGGGCCAATGCCTCCCCTCAGCCGGCAGGGAACCTCGCCGGAACCGAGGGGCCAGCGACCGGTTTCATTTTGTTGGGAGCAGGAGACCACAGAGAACTCGGACAGCTTTTATGAAACTGGGAAAATGGAAAAGGACTTGTTCTCCTTTACAGGAGAAAGTTCCAGAGTTGGGGGAACCTCATTCACGTCGATGACTCTCTCTCACCCTGATGATAAATGCAACAGCACCCTTTTAAAGAACCACCAAGAGTGTGGGCCCATCTAAACCATGGACCAGGTCTTTCTGCTGCGTCTTCCCCACCTATCCTCCAACAGTATCTATGCCCTTGTGGCTGTGTGACGGTCACCATCTCACATTATCCCCAACGTCAGGGTGTATCTTTCGAGATGGCCTCTATCAGCTAGTTCCCAGTCATTTCAGGAACCACGCTGCCCTCCTGCCTCAGTCCATTGGAGGATCCCACTCGGACGGTCTGGTTCACGGCTCTTCTGGCTCCATCCTAATTCCTCCTTAGTAACCCTGCCCACTTCTCCTAGCAGGCAAAAGAGCAGTCTTTGCTTTGGGGGCACAAGATGCCCACCATCTGTCATCAGATATCTTTTTTCAGAGCTTGTACTTGTCAGAACTCCCCTGATAGAGGCAGAGCTGAGCCCATGAAAAATTTAGAGTATATTTATTCCTAAGACTGAGATGTAAGCCATGATGAAGAAGCATACACAAAGGCAGGGAAAATGCCAACAAAGGCAGTATGGGAAATAAGAATGTACGCGAAGGATCTGCCATGGAGAAGCAACAATGCTCAGGTTTATCCAAATACCTTATATTTGGTAAAAAGTGCCACACCTCTACTTAACATTCTCATTGACATAACCATGAATAGGGCTTTCTGAGCACTTAATCATGTCAGTCATTGTGTAGACACTTTCCTCTTTCCCCCCCCAGTTCTCACATGAACCCCAAAGTGCACACTATCATCCCCATTTTACAGATGAGGAAAGTGAGGCACAGAGAAACTAAGTAATTCAACCAGGATCCCAAAAAGCAAGGCAGAACTGGGATTCAATCTGACTCTGGAGCCACTTGTGTAAACTACACTACACTGTCTCTAGGCAATATGAAAACTGGAGGCAGAGGGAACAAGAAACAAAGGGGCTTTGCGTCTCCATCTCACGCCCAGGTCATGAAGCAAGAGATCATCTCTGCCCATGTCATGCTCCACACTGGAGGACTGCAGAGGACTCCCCAGCATCAGAAGGTGTGAGGGAGGTCGCTAAGCTAACATTCACCCTAAGTCACCTCTGGCTGTGCCTCTTGGCTCTGAGAATCCCTGGAGTGCCAGCCAGTAGGGGTTCAGCCCAAATCCAGGCCCTGCAGGAGGGCTGCACAGGAGAGGGTGGTGGAGGCCCCTCTTCAGCTCACTCCAGGCCCCCCAGGAAGAGTGAGTCACCCCCACACCTCATAGTCTTTCCCACAGAGAGAGTGTCAGAGGCCATGTGGGGTGCCCGGACACGTGACTGCTCAGTGGTGGCCATGCAGTTATTCAGCAGGCAGGCCAGGAACAGAAGCCAAGCGGCCGCCTGCTGAGCCCCACCCTAACCACCAGCATCCCTCACAGGCTCCTGGGCAGAGTCTTCTTCTTCTCCAAATGAAATCATTTCTTCCCTGGTCATGGGGCTCACTGTGTCTCTGTCACAGGCGCCCCAGCAGCCTACCGCTCAGACACAGAAGCACTCTGCTTTGAAATGTGGCCCTGATTCATGATCCAGGCAGCTATTAGCTCAGCAAATCTGCGGCTTAATTTTTCCCCCCAGTTGTTGCCAGAATGTGAATTCTAACATAGGAACCAAGTAACTTTCAAAGCTTGGTTTTAGGAAAATTGACTACCGTTCTTGACTTTTAAAAAAGGCCTAAGATGGTTTGGTGTTATCTCCAGGCTCTTTTTGGCTAAATGGTGCTGAGATGAAGAATTTAAACTGTAACAATCCTTACGCAGCTCTCTCTCTTAAGACAAAAGATGAATTGTCTGAGCTCTGCCTGAAAGGGTGAGCTGGGGCCTCCAACCTCCTTACTGCCAGAAGCGAGATACCCCAAATATTTCTGGTCGACAACTATCCACACACAGCAGTGCTAGGGAGAGTGGAGACAGAGGCCATATGGCCACTACCATCCCAGGAAGAGGGGTTACACTGCCACTATGTCTACACTGTACCCACACAGACTGGTTTAGAAGTTTTGATTACCAGTCCAAAAATCAATAAAAACAAAAACCCCCACTCAGTTAGAGGGAGCCAGCTCAGGCTCACTGTGGTGGGCCTGGAACATGCTCCTTCAGCTCCCTACACCTGTATCTTCCAATCGCCTAAAGTGATTAGAAGCTCCCTGCAGTTCTCAGATCTAACTGTCCAGGTGAGCCAACCAGAGGGTGGCGTGATGCTAGCTCTGACTAACCACCTGAGAAACCCAACAGGCCCAGTCAAAGTGTAGTCTGAGGCCTTGGAACCTGCATGATTAGCTGTGCTCCCCTAGGCTGGTCACTTCTCTAATGTGATTTCTTCATTTGGAAAATAAGAGACTTGAACCTGATGCTTTTTGTGGGTCCTATCATCCCATACTCAGACTATCAAGCTATTATTTCATGACTGGGGAGAGAAGTCAGCAGTAATAATATCATACCCTTAGAGAGAACTCATGTCTCAGGCACTGCTCTAAGTGCTTTCTCCACATTAACTCATAGCCTCCTCATAACACAACTCCATGAGGTAGGTGCTATGGTCACCTCCTTTTACAGGTGACAAAACTGAGGCAGAGGAGATAAGGAACATATCTGAGGTCCCACAGGTAGTGGGTCAAGTTAGGATTTGAACTCAGGCAGTCTAACTTTAACCCTGCATGCTTAACCACTACACTGCACAGCTTCTTTTCTGAAAGGTAACCCAAGAAGGAATTTATCGCTATGCCTTCCATATTGCAGTTATCTCAGTATCACAGCAGTCACTTTCAAGATTTCAATACATTTCTTTTTCTCCAAATGAAATCCTAGATAGAACCTCAATCTACAAAAGGTAAAAGCAGAACTAATCTGGTTTGGTAGGGGGAGGAGGCGGGAAAGGCAGAACCCTAACTGCTCATGGATGGGGTCTTCTCTACCCTCCCCAAATGCAGCACCAACAGAATCCTAGTCCTTCAGCAAGTGCATCTCAAAATGCCACAGAGCATTATGGGTTTCTGCTTTCTAAAAATGAGTAATCTTGTACCCCCAGTATTGACTTGTGTAATCCATTATCAGAAAAGTATGTATTTTATGCTGATTCACTTTAGGAAGATTTGCTGCATCGTTTGTAATAATTATTATTACTTCTAAGGATAAAAGCTTTTCACCCCTTGGAAAATAACAATGCCGTCTGTACAGTATAAATCAGTGCTGAAGCGGCAATTTGATAAAAGATGTGATTTCATCTAATATACAACTTCAGAGGAAGTCATGGTGTGTGTGCCATGTGCAGAGTGAAGGGCCACATAAAGATTATAAAAGTGGGTCAGTGAATTAGGAGTCCCGCTGTTCAGAGCCACCTAATCCTGGCTTAGGAGTTGGAACCCCTGGCTCTCACACTGGCTCTCACAAACTTGTATGACCGCGGGCAAAGCACTAAGTTGTCCTCTAGGCCTCAGTTTATTCATTTGTTTATTGAACCCTTTGCAGGGTTAACTATCTCTAAAATCCCATGATACCCCCCTGGCTTGCATAATTCCCTAAGTACCAAGTAGACTCCAGATTTAAAATTTAAGAGAAATGGAGTAGAGGAGTAGAAAGAGCATACAGATGTTGTGTTCTCAAGACTGGGATGCTCTTCTGAGAGTCCTCAATAATCTCCCTCCCTCCACCTGAGTTTCAGTGCTTGGGAGAAAGGAAAGAGGTCACTGCCACCAAGAGCATCGTGCCTGGCTCAGAATCTCAACATCAGCAGGCAGGGCACTGGGGGCAGTGGAGCAACCCTATGCCCAATGCTCCCTACATCTTTGGATGAGGGTCTCCCAGCCTCTGCTGGGACCCCAAGTAGTCAAACTGTCTCAGGGATTCAGCCCGAAGAGATAGAGGAAATGCAAAACCAGACTGAGTGGTGATGTGGGCTGGGTCTCGGGGAGGTGGGAGGTGTAAGCTTAGAGAAAGTTACACACCCCAGCACAGTGGCTGGACAGGAAAATAGCAGGAGGCCACCGAGGAGCTCAAAGGTCCTTTGAGTTGGGCCAGGTTTTTTGAGCTGGGGGTAGGAGAGGTGAGTAGGGGGTTTAGCCACACCCAATCTCATGCCCCTAACCTCAGGGGGCGCAGAGGATTCCTGCCACTTAACAGACCATTTTTTCCCCAAGGGGACCACTGGAAAAGAAACCCAGAGATCTGGCCATGTTGTGGCCCTCCTACCACCCAAGGCAGTCCCACTGAGCCGATTACTCACATCCTTTCTGGAGAAAGGACGCTACACCCCAGTACTTCATCTTGAACTTGGCAGGGTCCTCGGTGTCTGTGAAGGTGCCCACCATGTCTGCGCACACGTCCCAATTGCTGCGAAAGCCAAGGGGAGCCTGAGTCAGGCCGGGCAAAGGGCTTCCTCCCGCCATCCCCATCCTGGTGCTCCCCCCTCCCGGGTCAGGCTTTGGCGCCCAGCCCCGGGGACCCTGCAGAGAGCTCTGCCGCCCACAGGCCACTGACTTCAGCAGCCGGACCCGGCCCTTGGCGGTGGCGCTCATCTGGCCGTTCTCGTCCACGGAGAACTCGGCGATGATGTTGTCCTGCAGAAAGAGGCCCTCGGGGTCCTTCTTGGCCATGGCGTACCAGGTCCCGGCGAACTGCGAAGGAGACGGGCGCAGGCTGGGTGTTGCAGTGGCCGCGGGGCGGGGGGCCCGGGGACCCCGGGGACCCCGGTACCTACTCGCGCCTTGTCGAAGTTCTCCTGGACTCGGAAGCCGCTCACCCGGCAGTCGCGCTCCGCCCGGGCGCTGCCCAGCGCAGCCAGCAGCGCCAGCGCCCACACC